GACTGGGCGCTCCTCAATATCTGGAATACTGTTCAAGTCCTCATCTGTGAACACACTGCTGAAGAACTGATTAAGAACGTTAGCCTTGCACTCATCAGAGGAAATCTTTCGTTGGTCTACTTTCAAATCAGATATACCGTCCTTTGACTTACACTTCGAACTAGCGTACAAAAAGAAGGCTTTCGGATTCTTTTTTTGCATTTTTAGCAATATTTTTTACGAAGTTTTTCACTGCAGTGCGACAAACTTTTTTAGCTTTATTTCGAACTCTGGCATACAGGTTATAATCAGACTCGCTGCGAGTTCGTAAATAACGCTTGTAGGCTTCTTTCTTGGTCTTTAGCTGAGTCTTAACTGCACTGTTCAACCACTGGGACTTTTTGACTCCTCCAAGCGTAATCTTGGGTACACAGGTATCAACTGCAGACATAACCGTGTCTTTGTGAGAAACGACCATGAATCAGTCGCGCTCATGTCCTTAATACAGTCCGAAATATTCGCCGCATTCACCGTTTCACGGAGTTTATCATAGTCGCCCTTCGCAAAGTTCAAACGTCCACGCTTCCGAAGCGTCTTTTCTGCACAACACTTAATATTGAAAAACAATGATTGGTGGTGGCTTTTGCCCAACGGAGCCTGGTGGCGAAGCTCATCTATCATTGATTCTTCACTAGTCAAATGGCAGAATTCTTTAAAAAATCTCTGAAAACCAAATAGTTAGAATATTTAATGCTAGAATTTGCCTTACTTCAATCTGCAACATAATTTCTAATCCTTATTTATGTGACATTATCACATCGCTGGCTTAATTTATTTGCTAAGTACTTTCTCACCAGTCGGCGAGGTAACCGACGCTGAAGGAGCCCAACATGGCGCCGGTCATGTAGACAGAACTGTAGGTGGAACGCAAGTACGCTCTGCCACACACCATATCGTACTGGCACGAGAGCAGGAATTGCTTCACTGATTTGTTTGTTCATAAAGTTTTATTGAGGAGATAGAAGCTTTAATTCACTCACTCTAAAAAAAAAAACACTCACTCTCAGACTACAGGACGAACATAACGGTGGTCTTCAAGACTTTTAATTTTAGAATCAAAATCAACGCGTTTTTAGGGAGTAATTTCTTTAAACGCAGATGTCAAAATAATTTCAACTAAAATACTATTGATCAATAAATCCTTTGACGACTAAGAACCAGGACAATTATTTTATATTCTTTGCCTTTACACCTACGCAAGTACATTAAACATTTAATTTATTAGCAGGCAGGTTGCAAAACGTAAATTAATTTGCTCAACATTTGTGCTAGGTACTTTACTTATGGATACACCGAATAATTACGAATAAAACTTTGAAAACACACGTAAACCTGGAGCACTACTCAACATGTTCACACGGAGCCAGACAGCTCTCTTCAACCTTACATGATACATGAGTGAAATGAGCGACTGCTCCATTTAACCTGCAGGAATAATGGGCGATAAGCAATGTTATTCAATTTGCAAAACTATATTAATGCCTGATTGTCTGCATCTTGATGCTAGAATTGAACCGAGGAACTTGTACTATCATCGCAGA